GAGCTTGGTGTGGGATGAAAGTAAAGGGGAGCAGAAATTTCTAGGCAGAAAAGAGCAATTTTCATAGAAATCGATGCCGTCTGTCTCCTCAGGCCTGCACAGACCTCCTCTCCCACCAGAAACATTTGACGGTGGGGCTCCCTCCGGAACCTCGAGAGAAGACCATCTCAGCGTGAGTGTGCTTTTTTACTGGCTTTGATCAAGCTTCTCTTAGCCTTTAAAGAGCTGTGTGAACTGTCCCCCACTCTCTTGCCCTAATCACATGTGCGATCTTCTGTCAGAGACACTCGACGTGAAAATGTCGATGATGACAGGGCACAGTAAATATAAGAGGAAACTCACTCATAAGGAGTAATACTCAAATGTTTTGTTTTGTTTGTTTTTGGTTTGGTTTGGTTGCATTTTTTTTCTCTTCCTGGTTTTCCAGAAACTCCCATTCAAAACAAAACAAAACGAAAACAGTGCAGTTGGAATTAGCACATGCAAAAAAAAATCAGCTATTCTTTGGACTTTGTTCCAAGGCCTCTCTCCTTGGCTTATAGATGGCTGTTTTCTCCCTATATCTCTTCACATTTCTTCTCTGTGTGTGTGTGTCTTTCTGTGTCCAGATTTCTCATTTATGTAAAGACAGCAATCCAGTGGCTTTGTTTAGAGCCTACCCCATGACCTCACTTTATCTTAATCACCTCTGTAAAGACCCGATCTCTAAATAAGGTCACACTCTGAAGTACTAGGGGTTAGGATTTCGACATAGGAACTTTGAGGGGATGCCGTTCAGCCCATAATACCTTGCTCCTGGCAAACAGAACCTTTTATCACAAATCAGATCAATTTTGTGACTATAGGCATACCTCGGAGGTATTGTGGCTTCAGTTCCAGACTACCACAATAAAGCAAATCTCAGAGTAAAGTGAGTCATGCAGATTTTTTTGGTTTCCCAGGGCATATAAAAGTTACCTTTACACTATACTGTAGTCTGTTAAGTGTGCAATACCATTACGTCCATAAAAACAATGCACATACCTTAATTAAAAACACCTTATAGATAAAAATGCTAACCATCATGTGCGCATTCAGTGAGTCATAATCTTTTTGCTGGTGGACGGTCTTGCTCTCATGTTGATGAAAACGCAGTATCTGCAGTGCAGTGAAATGAGGGGATTGTAAAGTAATAAAATAGCTTCCAAAAGGCTCACCTTAAATTTACTTTATTATTTTCTAGCCATAATAGTTACTTGTCAAGTGTTAAGCAGTAACTAGTCTGTAAAGACAGGGTACAATGAGTTTTATATGGAATGTTGAAGAGAAAGGCAAGCCAGGTTTATACAGGAGAGTGTAGAGCTCTCTTGAGTTGATATGGGCCGGAGTGGTTTGGGGACACGAAGAGCTTTGAGGACTGGAAGAACCAGTCCCAGAACCACTCCCAGAAATGATGAGATGTTGACTTGGGCTTGAGAGGAGCTCTTTCATTTTCTCAATATATTGAGGTTTATTTAGTTACAGAACTTTGACTTTCCTCACTGTTCTTCCTCAGACCTCTGCCCTATGAAGCTCTCACTAAGCTGATAGATGAAGCCAGTGAAGGGGACATGAACATTTCAATCCTTACACAGGTGAGCAGCATTAGAAAACCTAATCCGGTGGTTGATATTTGAAAGTTTTTTCAATTGACCTGGCAATTGACAACATTGTAGGCCTTTTGAGACCTGGGCCATAATTTTTGTCTATACTTATTCCATGCGCAGGAAATACTGGTCTATCTAGCCATGTATATGCGAACTCAACCTGGCCTCTTTGCTGAAATGTTTCGACTTCGGATTGGGCTGATCATACAAGTTATGGCGACGGAACTGGCCCACTCCCTTCGATGCTCAGGTATTCGATTTAGGAACTCTTTTAGGCAGAATTCACTTTTAATGTAAGTCTATTGGGTTTTGGATCAGGAGGGAAAGAAAGCTAAAACATTTTTATCAGTACCTCGGGAGTTGCATATATCAATCATGTTCCCGGATTAATCAATCTCTGTACAAGTAAAGGGACTGATATCATGACAAATTTAATTCGTCCTGCAACTCCAAGAGTTCACCACTTGAGGGCTCTGCACTCTCAATTAATGCATTCCTCCGGACTCCTGGTGTGACCTGGAGTGCACAGCAGGCTTGAATGTGAAAGACTGGGTTCCATTCCGATTCAGTCTGTGCAGCTTGTGGACCCCACACTGAGTCACCATGTCAGTTCAATTATTGCTGTGCCATTATTCTGTCTACTCAACCTTAGGATTAAATCAAGGAAGGCAGTATTCTCGTTACTTTTTATCTGGCATGACTGTCTTTGAAGCTGTAAAGTGCGAAGGCAGGCATGACTGTTTACATCAGTATTTATTTCATTTCAACAACAATGGCAAAATAATAGAGACAAGGATTGCATACAAAAACAGTCATGGCTGCAAAATTCAGTTTTAGCTGTTTTTTTTTTCAGTTACATTTCCCTAAAAGGTTTTTAATTGAGTTGTTAACAAGTACCTAAATTTATTGTTTCAAGTCTAACCTAAATGATATTAGCTAATTTATATTTAAATAACACTTTAAAGGAAGAGAGTTAATGATTATTTTATACATACCATATGGCAGATACTGCTTTTTGCTTTATATTTACACACATTACCTCTCTTAATTCTTACAATAACCCTCTGGAGAAGGTATTTTTGTCCCACTTTTACCGATAAGGAAACAGAGTCAGAGAGGTCAAATGACTTGCCCAAAGTTACATAGCTAGTAAATACCGGAAATTGAGTCCAAGTCTACTTGGTTCCAAATGACGTTCTGGTTATTCAATAATAAACCTCAACGAAGGATGAGCCCCCAAACCTTCTGCACTTTTCCTTAATTACCTGTTACGGATCTTTTTTTCCTGTGGATTCATCAAAAGCATGGCTATTTATTTCTTATGGGATGAAGTTAGGGTCCCTGGCTCTGAGATTTAAGACCCTGGACAGTCTGGCCTGTACCTCCTACTTCAACAGTCCTCCCCATTCAGTCTATCAGCCCCTTACTTGGCACTTAGTGTAGCCGTGCTTTATTGATGTTTATCTTGTTGACATCTCCAATCTCTCCCAAATAATCGGTCAGCCTCTCAAGGTCAAGTACCATGTCATACCTGTTTGTACTAACATTGCTTAAAATCATTACCTACATGTAGTAAACTGTTATTAAGTGTCTGATGTTGATGGTCAAACTCAAGTTATCTTTTGAATATCCTTCACAATTTTATAAATTCACATTTATTCTCTCTTAAGTCTCTGTGTTTCCAGACTGAAAAGTTTTGAGTACCATGTGGAGGGGGGTGAAGAAGAAACCAAGGACCTGGTTAATCCATAAATTGTGTAGTCAGTCTTTAAGTTATTAAGAATCTATTGCAGTCTTAATACCTTGGCAGTATGGTGCTAGAAATTTATTTTGTAATTCTGTTCTTCTAATCGAGTGAGTTCAAAATTCTAAGCAGGAAAGAAATAGAGAAAAAAGGGGTGGGGATGGCAAGCCAATTAGAAATGTCTCTGTCCTAACATCTCTGCTGACTAGCTGAGGAAGCCACAGATGGCCTGATGAACCTCAGTCCTTCTGCCATGAAGAACCTGCTGCACCACATCCTCAGTGGCAAGGAATTTGGAGTGGAACGGAGTGGTAAGGCTGAATATCTGCATTTCCGTTGCAGAGTGTTTGTTTTAAGCATCTTGTTGATTTTCAGATATTTTTCTTTTATCAAAGGGACCTCTTCCCCCCACGTATATAGAACCCCAATATATGCACCAGCTAAAAGCAAAGCCATCATCTGGAACAAGATTCGGAGACCCCTGTTTGTCTCTTTTTTTTTTCCCTTTAGATGGCAATATCAACCAAGTGGATTACTCTCATGTTTTTAACAGTTTTATCCATTTCCTTAAATTATTCCCTTAAGTCTCTACTTTAGGACAACAAACGATCTATATCATCTGAAACTTTCTTGTATTCCCGTTGGCAATAATTCAGTTAATACTTACGGTGGTGTGTGTATGCATGCACACGTGTGTAGCCCCGCAACAGTGTATCTGATGCATTCTTTCACCTTTAAATTCAGATACATCCCAAATTAATCCTCCACCTGTGCTTGATGGTCTGGCAGTGGTATTTGGTATCAAGTATCTAAAACATCAGCACAAATGAAAAGGGTAGTCTTCATGCTCAACTTTAAGAATAAATGAATATATAATATCAGATAGATGTATACAGGACCTTAGAGTGGTAAAGAAAGTTATAAAGCAGTGTTCCTCAAGCCTTTCTGTACACCTGGGGATCTTACTAAAATATAGATTTTCATGCAGTAAGTCTAGAGTGGGGCCTAAGATGCTACTAACAAGCCCCTAGGTGATGCTGATGCTGCTGGTCCATGGACCACCCTTCGAGTAGCAAGGTTATAATTGTTTTATTATTATTGTTATTAATGTAAAAGGAGGACAGACATCCAAGTCTTTTAAATGTGGAGAAAAAAAAAGTGACCCTGATTATCCTCTCTGTCTTTAACCTGTCGTGCTCTATAGTGCGTCCCACGGATTCGAATGTCAGTCCTGCTATTTCTATTCACGAGGTTGGTGCTGTTGGAGCAACCAAAACCGAACGAGCTGGGATCATGCAATTAAAAAGTGAGATAAAGCAGGTAAGACACTACTTGGGAGGTTAGCTCAGATATTGTCATGTTTAATAACATTCTTTTGGAATCAGACTTTGTTGGGCTTATGTATTCTGTTTTATATTCTGAGTTTAATTTGAGCCATATATTTTTCAGGTGGAATTTCGTAGACTATCTGTCTCAGCTGAGAGTCAGGTGAAACAACTAAGGATCTTTTAACATGGATTAACCTGCCTTCAATTCTACCTAACATGCATGAGCTCATGGCCTTTTGACAAATAAGATGACAAGCCACAGGGTGGCTTGTTTGATTCTCCTTTATAGCAATTATTTTGTAGATAGCTTTAATTTTTCTGGACCAAACTGTTTTGCTAATTTTAGGAGAAAGGTAATTTGTTTCTGATAGCAAGAGGTTAAAACCCAGAGCTCCTCTTGTTAGGATTAACAACATGTCATTTGGGGATTAATTTTCTTTATGAAACTACAGTTAGATTTCTTACCTGTAAGAACAGATAACAGAGAGAGAACCAGATTATGTGAGGGCCTTTGTTAAGATCTATTTTCAGGTATTGTCCTGGAATCAGATTATCATTGTCTTGATGGAGGTATGCGAAAGGTGCTGTGGACACAATACACGAAACTCATTTAAATTGGTCTGAGAGTTGGTGGCAGTCAACAAATATCATATTGTAGTCTCTTACGCATGTTTTTCCTGCAAATAAGAATAGATGAGTTACTGTGTTATACAAAGAAATAATTAACACAAACTTCCAAAGCTTCTTTCACAACTCTGGGAAATCATGTGATTTTGAAGTCCAAGTTGTGAAGGCACTAATTTGGTCTCCCCTAGTAGCACTTTTTATGAAATGCTTAAAAGTACTCCTGGCTTTCAAAATAGATGTATGCTAGCTTGCACTATGACAGCACATCCAGAAGAGGAGGAGCAAACATTTTTTAGGAGTCAGAAACCATTTAGGAAAAGAATGAGCCAATGCTTGAAGTTTAACTTGAAGTAACTTATCAGATATCCTTTCACATGTATATTACGCAATGGAATAAGAATGGGCCTTGTGATAGAAAAATGTTCACTTCACAGGATTTTTCCCCACATAATTTGGATAATCCAAACATTTTCCTATCTGAAAAGTAAAAACTACATTTCATCCTGAAGCGTTAAATTGACTTGCATTGTTGGTAAACAGTTCTTGTTTTGGTTGAAAGTGATTGGCTAAACATTTTATAGTTGTTTGTAGTCACACTGTATCACTTACAAATTCATCATATATGTAGAACTTGAAGTTCATGTTGTCGGTTAGATTAATAGGATATTCAGGACTTTACCTACCCAGCTATATCATTTAATTCTTTTTTACATATTTACTACCTATAGGACTTCAAGAAAGCCAGAATCATTAGGACTATAGACAATTGAAAGCCCTAAAGTTTTATTACTTTCTAATTTCTAAATATTGATTTCCATCCTTACCTGCCTGTGTGGTATTTTGTATTATTTTAAGCCTTTTTCTCTACCACTCACCAATGCCCTCTTTTCTGATTATGGAAAAATATTTTTAAGGTAGTTTTATTTCTTTTCCCCTTTACCATGACTTTATTTCATCAGCTTTTTTAATGACAGCATGCTAGCTAGTTACTTGAATAGTCTGTAATTTTACCCTACTAATAACGTAAAAACAGAAATAATGTTTGACTTGCCTCATGTGTTTTAAAACTGTATTTTCTCAATTTTTTTTCATAGTCCAATGGTGGCCATACCCTGGGTATAGATCTGATGTCACCGACTTTTCTGGTAACTGCTGTTATCTTGTATTAGATACCATTCACAAGTGCTTTGAATACACTTTTACATAAATCATGACATATACTGATTAAGTGAAAAGAAAAATAAAATGAATTCAGTCAAATAAATATAAATCAACTTCATGTATGAGAGTGAAATCTTTCCACTTCTTTCCGAAAAAAGGCGAGAAACGGGGTTTAATTCCAGCCTCTTTTTTCATTTTAGAAAACAAAATGCAATTTAATAAGTATTTGTTAAGTATCCGTTTATTCATTAATTCTTCAACTAATATCATAAATTACATTCCTACTGTGCACCAAGCACTGTAGAAGACAGCATCAGAATCCCCTGGGAACTTCTGAGAAATGTAAAATCTTGGTCTCTACCCTAGGCCTACTGAATCAGAAACATGGGGGGAGGCCCAGCAGTCTGTGTTTTAACAAGCTTTCTAGGCAATTCCAATGCACTTTTAAGTTTGAAAACTACTGCGTTAGCTATTCTTCTGATTATGAATTCATTTGCTAAATATTAAGTGAGTGCCAGTGTTGTTCTAGGCACCAGAAATACAGTACTGAACAAAACGGATGTGGCCTTTGCCATCATGAAGCTTACCGTTTCAGCAGATCTCTGATTAAATTTCCTTGATTTAAATGAAAGGTTCATAATGGCTTATGATTTCCGACCTCATAGGCTGGAGAGGTTAGGGCCAGATGACAACCAAACAAAAAATGGAAAGCTATTGGAAACAGTATTAGTATTTTTGTTGACCTTAACCAGATACCCTGTCATAAATTAGTTTAGTAAGCTCTGTTGTGTCCACGGTAATGGAGGAGGATAGAGGCACAGAGAAGTTCATCTAAAAACTCCAACTATTGATATTTGGTTTTGAAAAATAGTCTGAATACCCTTTGCAGGTTGACCCCACTATCAGCAACCTGGGATCTTGATGATAGAGACAAAGAAAATGAAGATAAAGCAAACTGCATTTCATCTCCTTAGCACCTTATTGGCCCATAGAAACATCTGGGGGGCACTTTTCTTTTACTTAGCAGCAGTTGGTGATACAGGCATTTGGACCGAATTAAAACGTGAGACGTTATTGTCTCAGAAAATATTTCTATTATCTTATTTCTATTTTATGTTTATTTCGGAATCTAAACTGTCAATGAACCACTTTCTCCAATGTCTTCATCCTTATAAGTTTTTCATAGTTCATTATGTCGTAGCACGTGTCAGGACTTCGTTTCTATGTGTTGGTGAATAATATCCTGCATCGATACACACCACATTTTATCCATTCATCAGTTTCTGTTTTGCGGCTGTTATGAGTAATGCTGCTATGTACCTTCATGTACAAGTTTCTGTGTGAACATGTTTCATTCCTCTTGGATGCATATCTAGGAGTGGACGTGCTGGGTCATTTGGTAACTATGTTTAGCATTTTGAGGAACTGCCAAAGTGTTTTCCAAGGAAGCTGCACCATTTTACATTCCCACCACCTATGTAAAGAGGGTTCCAATTTCTTCCTATCCTCACCAACTCTTCTTCTTGTCTGTCTGTGATTCTAGCCATTTTAGTGAGTGTGAAGTGGTAGCTCGTGGTTTTGATTTGCATTTCCGTGATGGTTTATGATATTGGGCATCTGTTCCTGTGCCTATTGGCTATTTTCTTATCTTCTTTGCAGAAATGTCCATTCAGATCCTTTGCCCATTTGTTAATTGCATTATTTGTCTTTTTGGTTTTGAGTTGTAAAATTCTTTGTGTATTCTGGGTACAAATCCCTTATCACATACGTGATTGGCAAATATTTTCTTCCATTCAGTGGGTCGTCTTTTCACTTTCTTCTCTTTTTTTCCCTCTAGAGGACATCAACTACAGAATGACTCTCTTGATAGTGTCATTCGAAGAACAGAAGTGTTTCATTTTGATGGTCTAGTTTACTTAATTTTTTCTTTTTTTTCTATATTTTTATTTTTATTCTTCTTATTATTTAAATTTATCGATTTAAATTAGTTTCAAGTATACAGTACATTGGTTAGACATCTATATAGTTCATAAAATGATCCCCTCAGTTGCTCCCTCCCTTCCTCAGCCCTCCACCTAGCCATTACCTTACTACTGACTGCCTTCCCTGTGCCGTGCTCCCCATCCCCTTGACCATCCATCAACTACTAACTTGTACTTCTTTAACCCTTCACCCCATTCTCCCAGCCTCACACCCCCTTGCCCTCTGTCTGTCACCAAATTTTCCACTATATTCGTGAGTCTGTTTTGGATTAGTTTCTTCTTTTCGTTCCTTAGATTCCGCATATAAGTGAAATCATATGGTATTTATCTTTCTCTGTCTTATTTCACTCAGCATAATACCCTCTAGGTCCATCCATGTTGCAAATAGTAAGATTTTATTTTTTTATGGCCAAGTAATATTCCATCGTATATATGTATGACATCTTCGTTGTCCAATCACTGTTGACGGGCACTTAGGTGGCTTCAACATTTGGCTATTTTAAATAGAACTACAGTGAACATAGGGGTGCATATATCTTTTCAAATTAGTGTTTTGTAGTTTTTTTGGATAAATACCCGGAGAGGAATTGCTGGGTCATGAGGCAGTTCTGTTTTTAAATTTTGGAGGAACTCTTTTCT